GCAGCATCCGCATCATGAGGATCGGCAGCAGCAGCAGCAGCAGCTGCAGCTGCTGCTGCTGCAGCAGCAGCAGCAGAAGCGCTTGCCTTATTGAATCCCTTGGTGGTTTTTGCTGCTTGACCTGTTGCTGCTGCTGCTGCTGCTGCTCCTGCTGCACCCTGCAGCAGCTGCTTCTCAATCAATTTTAAGGTGCGCAGCGCCCTCATTTTTAATTTATCAAATTTAATATCTCTGATTTGCGGCAAACATAAATTAGGGTCGTTGCTGACTTCCTGAAGAAACACAAAAAAAAATATTTATTTATATTTATATATATTTATATATATATATATATATATTTATTTATTTATATTTATATTATTTATATTTATTTGTTTATTTATATTTATATATATATTTTTATTGTTTTATATCTGCATTTATATTTATATTTATATTTATATTTATATTTATATTTATATTTATATTTATACGCTGCTGTCTATGTTGATATATATATTATATATATTATATATATTAGACAGATATGTATATATATATTTCTCTGTATATTTATATTTTAATATACTTCACTTATATTTATATTTATATTTATATCTATATCTATATTTATATTTATATTTGAACGCTTCTAAACCCTAGCAAACCCTAAAACTAAACCCTAATAAACCCTAATAAACCCTAATAAACCCTAACAAACCCTAACAAACCCTAATAAACCCTAATTAAACCCATATAAACCCTAACAAACCCTAATGAACCCTAATACACCCTAATTAAACCCTTCTAGACCCTAATAAACCCTAATAAACCCTAATTAAACCCTTATAAACCCTAATTAAACCCTTCTAAACCCTAATAAACCCTAATAAACACTAATTAAACCCTAATAAACCCTCACTAAACCCTTATAAACCCTTATAAACCCTTTCATGAAAGACTTACTGCCCAAGCCCCAAACCCGTATTTATATGCTCCAATTAATAATGCAGCGTCTTCGCGAGGACCCCACCGACGAACATCGCGTGCACTCCACGCCTTTAAACGCGAGGAGACAGACTCAGGTAGATGTAGCTAAACAAATAAATAAACAAATAAAAAAACAAATAAATTAATTAATTAATAAATATATAAATATATAAATAACAGAATTAAATAACTGTAATAATAAAAGAAGACAAAGAATTATAGGATTGAAATAACTAAAAGATTAAAAATAACAAAAGAATACAAACAGCTGTCTTTCTCTTTAAACGATATAAAACAAATAAATAAATAATAAAATAATAATAAAATAATAATAAATTAATAATAAAATAATAATAAAATAATAATAAAATAAAATAATTTAAAGAAATAAAAGAAGATGAAGAAGAAGAAGATTATCGACAAATAAATAAATGAAGAGGGGCTAACAAACAAAAACAAATAAATAAAGACGATTATATATATATATATATATATATATATATATATATATATTTATATATAT